ATTATTAGTATTATTATTATTACTTTTAGTTGTTCGTTTGTTTGTTTGGTGGATTTCCAAAGAGATCACACGCAGGACTATATAATGTGGTTTACATAACCTCTGTGGACTTCTACCTCGCAGATAAATCCTGGCATACACATTCTCTCTTCCAGCGGCCGGAGAGTGGCCTGGGTGGCCACCACAGTTGACAGAGACGCCATTGTGGTGGTGTTGGTGGCAGCGACAGTTGTTGTTGTTGTTTTTGTTGCTGTTGTTGTTGCTGTTGTTGTTGCTGTTGTTGTATCTGAGGCAGTTGTGTACGGAACTACTACGGAGGTGCTCCGAACTTCAGACGTCGTATCTGGACGCTGGGTTGTGACGTCACTGGTATCTCCCCCGCCCGGCTGTCCCCAGGATCCAAAGTCGGAGTCTGTGGAGTTCTGGACGGAGGTAGGGGCGGTTGTTGTGGAGGTGGTGTGTCGTTGCTGTTGATGTTCATGGTGGAGGTAGATCTAGTGCTGCTGCTGTTGTTGCTGCCATCGCCCCATCTTACCAACACGGAGGGCTCTCATCCCCCTTTCCCAACACAAAACACAATCACCCCCTCCACTCCCATTCCAGTGTAACTTGTATTTCCGTGATCAATTAAACAACACGCAGCTTATGCCTAATAAATGGATTCAGAGGCTCAACATATTTGTTTCACACTTTGCTGTTACAGTTTACTTCGTAAAACTCTTCACGGAAATCCATTTCATGTGATCGTGCATTTCAGCCTGGATTTTTAGATTTCCAATGCGATAGTCACTCCACTTTGTAGACCCCTTCACGAAAGTCTTTTTCAAGGGAAATGTCTTTCTTCAGCCATGCTTTTTAGATGGAAAGTGCGATAGTAAAGAAAGAGTTTGCTTTGGTAGATGGGTATCGTTGAGTATTAAATAAATGCCTCTGACACGTAAGGAAAAGGGGGACAGAAGTTGCCCGTCTGCAGAATAAATTAATGCTGTTATAAATGTCCTAGATGCACCATGCGATAAAGGAAAAAGTCCCCACTTTCTGATCAGTATCTCCGAGAAGTAAGTGCCTTTATATTTCTTCTAGATCTATTTTGAAAAATATTCTCCCCTACTCATACACTGGTCATTGCCACAATATTGACGAGCAAACTCCTCCTCCTCCTCCTCCTCCTTCTCCTCCTCCTC